CGACACAATCAACCATCAAATACTGATATCAATCTTACACTCTGTGGTGGTCAGTAATCATGCATCATTACTACTATCAAATTACCTAAACTATCTAAAGCAGAAGGTGGTGTTAAATGGGATTGTGTCGGATGCTCTCGGAGTAGTTGCAGGTGTGCCCCAGGGATCAATACTGGGTCCTTTACTGTATATTGTCTATACATCAAAATTTCCAAAATCTGTCAAATACTCAGAACTACAGTTATACGCGGATGATACGCAACTTCTTTATTCGTTTCGCCCAGATGGAGTAGACGAAGGTTGTCATCGAATATGCTCTGATCTCAAAAGTATCTCCGATATCTCCTAACAGCACTCCTTGTACCTCAACACCGATAAGTCACATTTTATTATTTTTGGTCCCAAAAAAATGAGGAATCTTCTTACGAACAGAATAAATATATTAATATCAATGGCGTTACAACAAATAATAATAATAATAATAATAATATTTATTTACTCTAAAGTACAGGGAACATGAAACGAGTAAATAAATATAATATATCCATAGGAGGACAACGCCTGTGCATGGATCATATGTATGTTGAATTGCAAAATATAATAAAATAGAGAGAAAAAAGAAATTATTGGTAAGAATGGTAGAGCATTTATTGTGTAATATTTGAGATTATTTTATTAATTTGATTTCTTCCAATCGTGTTAATAAATTTTTTTAATTTTTTTTGAAGCCTAATGTATTGCGTAATTGTTTTAAATTATTTGGTAAATGTTCGTACAATTTTGGAGCTATATACAGGTGACATCGTTTCATTAGGGATTTGTTTGGTTTAGGAACATTTTTTGCGCGTAATTTATATCTGGTTTTATGATTATGTTTAATTATGTCGTGTTCACTAATAGTTTTGTGATAATGAGTGATGGTATGTAAGAAGTAAAGTTGTTTAGTATCATATACTTGTGCATCATTATATAAGTCATTAGTTGGGTATAATTTTGATTTGCCTAACATTGATTTTAAAATTCTTCTTTGAAGTACATCTAAATCGTTAAAGTATGTCGTGCATGCAGCACCCCACACTACTATACCATATGTTATGTGTGGCTCGACTAAAGCTTGATATATTATTCGTAGATAATATTCAGTTAATATACCGGTTAGAAATTTTATTTTATATGCTATGAATCTAATTTTCTTTAGTATGTGAGAAATATGTACATCCCATCTCAAGTGGGGATCTAGATAAATTCCTAAATATTTTGTATCATTAACTCTATTGATTTTTATATTTTTATCATTTACCTTAAACCGAAGGTGGTTATATTTTGGTAGATGATTAGATAGTGATGAAAATGGTAAAACATGAGTTTTAGTAAAGTTAATTGTTAATTTTCGGTTATTAAACCACTGAATAATTTTGCAAAAGTCATTTTGGATAATATCTTTTAAGTCGTTCCAATCCTTACCTTTATAGAGTATAGCAGTATCGTCTGCAAAATAGGCAAAGTAAAATAAAAAATTTAGGTGTACTTCTTGACGAGGACCTGAGTTTTAAAAATCACATAACAAACTGTATCAAAAAGGCTTTCAGCAACTTGAAAAGTATCTATGGCTATAGAGATTTGTTGAATATGAATACCAAAATTTTATTAACAAATGTTCTTCACATTTTAACTTCTGTGATGTTCTGTATAGTAAGTGTATAGACCAAAATCATGCAAAAAGGATACAAAAGGTTCAAAACTCGTGTTTACGACTCATCCATGGAATTCGACGTAGAGAAGGCATTTCATATAAGTTAGTAGAAACAAGCTGGCTAAATATGAAAGATAGACATTGCTTCCGTACCTCAGCCTGTACCAGTCCTCAACAAACCTCACATAACAGGAAGCAGCAAGTTTTGCACACCATTCGGAAGTGCGAAGAGTGGGGATTCCCATAAAATATACGAGCCCCTTTCCACTTCAGTTATAAACTATGTAAACATGACGAAACTATTTCCTTCTAAGTTATTTTCTCAAAAACATTTCAGATACACTCTAGTCGTAAAAAATACGTATTTGAAGTCATTTAGACCTATAACTAATAGAACATCTGAACAAATAAACAATGTGCGAATAAATGCGCGAAGTTAACAAAGCAACAATTGAAAGATTACCATTGGGTAATATCACCTTTATTTTTTATTACGGCTGAAATTCGTTTTTATACTGCTTTTTTTTAATTCAATAACGCTCTAAAAATGAATATTTCAGCCGCAGTAAAGAATGAACGTTGGCGGATTTTGGTTCTTGACATCCTTTACGATCGGTTACGATGCCTAGAGTACGGAGACCTGTACGATTTCGTCAACTTAGTGAGTTTGATAGGGGCCGTATAGTGGGACTTCGGGAACCTAGACTTTCTTTTCGGGCAATTGCAGTTAGAGTGCAAAGAAGTGTAGACACTGTGGTTAGGTGTTGTCAGGCATGGCTTCGAGAAGGCCGTACGCAAAGAGCAAGAGGCACTGGACGCCGCCGTAGAATAACAGACCGTGAAGATCGCCGCCTAAGACTATATATTGGCGATAAGTCTAACAAAATTGCAATTTCTGAGTTTGATTTCCCAGAATTAAAAAATTTAATTATCAGTAACCGAATTTTTTCACTAATAACCTTTCCTCTACCCATTTTGAAAACCCTAACTACCAAAACTATTTTAAACGTATTCTGACAGCTGTGACTAATAAAAACAATTGTCATGGCTTTTATTTTTCACAGCGACCTATGCGTTATAGACTTATTTTGCATTGAAATGAAAATGTAGGTTGATATGCTGTAATTGCAACATGTGTTATTTTTATGCTGCAAATTTGATTAGGGATTATTGGCGAATATATTCGTCATATTCGGCTAAGAGGCCTGACGCATGCAAAAGATAAGTAGAGGTGGGAACATTTTTCAAAATCACTGTATACTGGTAACCCAATCTTCATCCTTCAACGTTACCATAAAAAGTGTGATTTTGTTTACCTTGTTCATTTGACTAGAAAGGGTCGGGTAATCGAATTTGCAAAACTCGGTGAAACTGATACATCCCGAGCACCAGCATTTGAAACGTTTTATCCGAATTCGTTCAGCTGGAAGGAGAGAGAGAGAGAGATAAATAATTTATTTGCGAAAGAGAGCACCCTTTTAAGCAGAGAGCACCCCCGAGTAAATAAACCGCCATCCGTTTGTTGAATTTGTTGAATCACAGATCCTTCTTTCGGTTGTTTATCTAATTCCAGGCTTCGATCCGAACAAGAATAGTTGGCAATTGGCCTAAAAGTAGACTAGATGTTTAAAGATTTTATGGTGCCTGCTTGTAAAACGTACAGGGTGGGCAACTAAGAATGGCAGGTACTGTATCTGAGAACCTATCCGTCGCAGAGGCTTGCGCCAAAAAAGTTTTTCACTATTCTGTGATATATTAGTCTGACAAAAAATACCGAATCTTCAAATTCGAGGATAATCTGAACCTTTTTTGTTTAGCTATCTCTAAAAATAAAGTTTCTTTTATCATGATTAGTACAGTGGTTACTAAGGTTACGTGACGGCAATGAAACATCGATATCAGGCATTCTAGAAATATTGTGTTGACAATAATTCTACCCTTGTGGATACCCCGGGAATTAAGATTGAGTGTAGGTATAATTAAACACACCTAATAGCTGTCATATCCAGTGGAGTTAATGATGAATAATGCAGCACTATTAACGACACTTCTATGCACAGTAATATGATGAGGCTGACAAAAATTAATGAATTAAAAATGAGCACACCCGGACATTTTTTATCCGATAAACCCGATTACAAAGCGCGAACGCCGAGTTGTAATCTTTCTGAACACTCGCTACCGGCAAATAAAAAACGTTCCGAAATAGCCCTGCCAACGAATTGGGCCCGGATAGACATTTTTTCGTTCTGCGTGCCGTAATTTTGTTAAAATGCGCTGTAAAAATACTAACTGGCGCCGTTCAAAAAGGGACGATAATTCTGGAATGCGAACTGCAAAACTGGATAGTTAATTGGAAGCGTTGTGGCGCGATCGCAAAAATTTCTGAATTTCCAACCAGAAAAAGATCCCAGAGTTGTCAGATCTCATTTATTTTCTCAATAACGAAACTTGGGATATTCAGTAGCGTGTATATGTGCAGGGTGGACCATAACAAAATTCATTTTCAAAAACAATGTAAATGAAAGCAGGCTATACCTAGAAGAGTTTGTTAATTTTTATCATATAAAAGGACATTGGCAATTTATGTTTTAAAAATGATATCATCAATATGGCCTCCAGATCACTTTTTCAAACGGAATTCTCGCCTGCAAGTTGCTCTCAAGATTACCGCCATTTAGTGACCAATGCTTTTCTTTAATTCGTTGGAGGTTTTTGGATTAGCATTGTAGACTCGGCTTATATGACATATCCCCATAAAAAGAAATCGGGTATGGATAACTCAGCGCTTCTTGGTGGCCAATCAATGTCACTTCCCTTCGATATTACCTTATTTCCTGTACGACGTTGGTGAAACGTAATTTTCTGATTGCCCAAGATCATTTTAAACAAGTAGATCCAATCAAAGCGCTAGCTGATATTGCTGCTCATACTGTGACTTTTTGGCAATGAAGTGGTTGTTAATGCTCCAGCAATGGCTGCACCACAGTTCAGTATCGACAACTTTGCTCGGATAGGGATAACTCAGAGCTTCTTGGTGGCCAATCAATGTCCCTTCCCTTCGATATCACCTTATTTCGTGTACGACATGGACAAAATTACTCAAAAACATAATTTTTGACATTAGAATTCTGTTGCTTTTATTATACCATTGGATAGATAAATAGTCACTGCAACACGTAAGTATAGTACTTTAATCAAGTTGGCTGCGATTTACCTATTTTAGCAACTTTAAAGTTAGACATGTCGAGACCTGTCAAGAAGGCGAAAAATCTCTCTGTTTTATTGCTCAGGAAAGATATAAATTTTGTGTCAAAATATTTAAATATTTTAACTTTTCCAATATGGCTGGTAATGAGGCTGGTAAGTACATTATATTGATGTATAGATTTATTTAAAATATAATTATAATTACATAATTTTTTAAGTTAAAGTGACTATTACCGATTTTTTTAATTTTTTTTAGACTTTTGACCTTGTTTAGAGTTTTACAAAAATCACCTCCCATCACCCTAAAAAATTTTTTATTTATTGTTTATCTGTCCATAGTAAGTTTTCATAAAAGTTTGAATCACGTCATGCCACAACTAAGGGAGATATAATTTTTTTTAGGACATGGTGCTATTGTCAGAAATAGAGATTTGATTGATGTGTGAATAGAAGCACCGAGAGGAAATAGAAAACAGGTGGTTTATAAAAAGATATTATCTCTTATTGATATAACAGATTAACCTTCCAAACATCTTGAAAGTAATATTATGAAATGCAGCCAGTTGTTTGGGTTGAAAATGGCAAATAAATGGCAGAAAGTAGGACAATCTCGGAATCGACTTTTACAAAATCAGGTATATTGGTTAGACAAGATTATATATAGAATAAATAATGATTCTGAAGAAAACACATCTTCGGATGAGGAACAAGAACCTCCTTGTCGCTCAGTTGGACCGCCACGGGTGCCATTTGAAGAGGCATCGAAGAAACAAAACGAAGACGTGTAGCCGAACTAACCACAGACAGATCTGCAAATGAACTTCAATTTGCTGTAAATGTCGTTTCTGGAAGCAATCACAGTGAGGTCTCGCCACAAATTTTTAGTTTTAGTACAGCTGAGGCTTTAGCCCTTATGGTAGATTTGGATATATCCGTAAGAAAGTATTTGCTACTTAGGTCTGTTATTAATGGTAAGGCCCAGAACTGCCTTCCTAGTTATAAAGAATTACAGAAAACAAAAAATGCTATCATCCCTTCACAATTTATTATTACTGAAATTTCTGCAGAAGTTGATTTGTAAGAACTTCTACAGAAAACAGCTGAAAGTATCCTTGAAATAATAAATTTTGAAGAGAGAGATTGCCGGATTAAAGTGATATGCAAGTGGGGATTTGATGGCAGTTCTGGGCATAGCCAATATAAGCAGAAATTTTCTGATTTAGAAAACACCGACGATTTCTGTTTCTTGTAGCAATGACGCCACTCAGATTGATTGATATGGAAACGAATAAGGTATTATGGAAAAATGAGAACCCTTCATCTACTTTATATTGTAGGCCGATCAAGTTTTTATTTAAAAAGGAAAATGCTGATTTAGTGCGGAATACGGAAAAGGAAATAATAACAAAAATTGAAAATTTGATTCCTATTGAGATTAAAACAAAAGAAGGGCACTCTTATATAATTGAAGTTGATATGATGTTAACAATGTTGGACGGCAGTGTTGGGAACGTTCTATCAGAGACAAATTCATCTATGAAGTGCACCATTTGCGGAGCCACACCCAATTAAGATATCGAATTTTGTCCCTGATCCCTATAAAGGAATACACTGTGCGACGTTGGTGAAACATAACGTTCTGATTGCCCGCGATCGTTTTAAAAAAGTAGGTCCAATCAAAGCGCAAGCTGATATTGCTCCTCATACTGTGACTTTTTGGCAATGAAGTGGTTGTTAATGCTCTAGCAATGGCTGCACCACAGTCCAGTATCGACAACTTTGTTCGGGTAGGGATAACTCAGAGCTTCTTGGTAGTCTATCAATGTCACTTCCCTTCGATATCACCTTATTTCCTGTACGCCGTTGGTGAAACATAACGTTCTGTTTGCCCGCGATCGTTTTAAACAAGTAGGTCCAATCAAAGCGCTAGCTCATATTGCTACCCATACTTTTTGACAATGAAGTGGTTTTTGATGCTCCAGCGAGAGCTGCACCACAGTCCAGTATCGACAACTTTGCTTGTTCAAAAAACCGTTCAAATGAATGTCAAACCTCGTCTGTTTCCCAAATCACAAAACCGCTCAGGCACCAGCACCGAAAATCTAATCCCTTTGAAAGGTCATTGCCCTTTAATTCTTGTACGATTCCAAACTTGTATGGATGAAGCTTCAAGTGACGCTTAAACATTTGTATCAAATTCGTACGAGCAATACTCATAGTCGTTGAACATCTACGAGTTGAGAGTTGTATTTTTTGATCCGTTCCTATATCTTGGGACTCTGAGCTTTGGGGACTGTGTACATCAAGGCATGCGTGATGTTGGACACCATATACCTTGGGATACGTTGAGTTTTTTGGGCCTGTGCCCATCGAGGAATTTATTCAGAACGTCGAGACACAAAATAGATAAAAAACTTAGCGAAATTAACCGAAACCACTCTTTCTCTTGAAGTATACAGGGTGACGGGAATATAGATGCGGAGCCGGTGGTGGGAGATAGTACAAGCCAATCGATTTTACTATAGGAACTACTGTCCGAAAACTAGCCGTTTTAGAATTATATTGGTTTTTAAGATTTTATAAAATTAACGTCCTTGATACGTTAACGAAGTCATAAAACTTGAAAATTGGGTGTTTCGTTTGATTTTTTTTTGTTTTACAATAAAAATATTCTAAAATACGAAAATTGTTACTCAAATGTACATTATTGACGTTAAGCTTCAAAATAGTTCGATTTTTGTTAAAAAAATCTTCGTTCATCTCAAATGCTTCAGTTTACTAGAAAAAGTCGCATACAAATTTTTCGTACAAAATAATTAGAAAACATATACGTTTCATTACCTTTCAAATGAGGTATAAAGATCACAAATCGATTGAGAATTGGCAAAAATATGACTATTATAACAGGAAGAAGGAAAAAGCAATAAAAATACTACACTTACAAAATCATACCTTAATACAGGATAATTTGTTTGAAACTACATTTTTTTACTTTTATAATACATTTTCAACATGGCGCCCTCTATTTCTAATGCACACACGTGCTCTTCTTATGACAGCAGATTTTACTACCGCCGAATTCCTATGAGAGGCTTGAATTTCTTGGGCTGCATGTATTACCCTGTTTCTGAGGTCTTCTATTGAGGGTACAGGATTTTGATCAGAGCATACTAAAGTTTTCATGCGACCCCACATAAAAAAGTCCATAGGTGTGGGATCGGAACTGCGTGCTGGCCATGGGATTGGTCCGCCTCTACCGATCCATCGATTCAGAAACTGCTCATTTAACCAATTTCTAACACATAGTCTGAAATGTGCTGGGCACCCGTCATGCTGAAAAATCATTCTGTGTCTTATGTGTAGCGGCACGTCTAGCTTCTAGAATATTTTTATGGTAAACCAAAAAAAAAAACAAATAAAACACCCAATTTTCAAGTTTTATAATGGTTAACGTATAAACGACGTTAATTTTATAAAATCTTAATCTTTCCGTCGCCCTGTATATTCCAGTAAGTATAACCGACCTTCACGTCTTGTTGGCAATGTCGGACCGGCTTTTTTATGTTTGTTAAGTTAGATAATGGTTTGATTTACAGATACCAGGTGATAAAGGTATAGTAAAACAAACTTCACTTAAATTCTCATGTTTTATTTTTATATTATATACAGGGTGTCTCAGAAGTCGACGTCAAGCCGAAACCGGGTGATAGGCAAAGTCATAACAGCTATCAGAAAAATATTTAAAAAAAAATGTATGTACGTGTTTTGAAAATTATAGGTCTTTGAAAAAAATATAGAAATTTCACACCCTACGGCAGTCTGTCAACTCCTGTTACTACAAATATTAACTTTTTTTGGATTTTATTTTTACAATGTAATGATGATTAATGCATCTTCAAACTGGTGTCTCAACCTTACTGCCAACTTTTCTCGTTCAGGAAAAATTGCCACTTATTTCCCAAACAAGTATTCCAAAGTAAAACTTTGCTCAACTTTAACTGGCTGTACTGGAAAAAAATGTACTACGAGAGTTTGGCAAGTAACCTTAAAAGTTGGCGCATTTAATAAGAATTCCAAAATGGTATAACACTTAGAAGATTACTCGTTAACTTATGCACAATTTTTATTTGACGAAAAACTGATGAAATTTTTCAAAATTTACTAATTAAACAGCGATTATGAAAACGCACAAGGACCCTTAAGGATAACTGTTTGCACAACAGTGGGCGTCAAAATGTTGCTGATGATGATTTACCTTTACAGCAAATGCTCAAACTGTTTTCCTTCAGCCGCAATACACGCCCGACATCTTAAAGAAGACCGGGTTATTAAACGAGCGAATCCACGGTTATTAACAAACTCAGCTGCTTCCAATAGTCTTTGCCGTAGCTCAGCTACATTTTGAATCGGCTTGAAATACACTTTTTCTTTTACAGTTCCCCAGTAAAAAAAATCTAACGGATTCAAATCTGGTGACCGGGCTGGCCACGGTATTGTACCAGACCGCCCTATCCATCTTCCTGGAAAGTTTTGATCGAGATACTCTCTCACTGAGAGTGCATAGTGCGCTGGGCATCCGTCATGCTGAAACCACATGTCTCTGTAAATACTCAGTGGCACGTCCTCCAATAAATTTTCTAAATGATTTTGCAAAAAACCTAAATAAACCTCAGCAGTCAAAGTCTCTGGGAACTCCAACGGACCGATTATTTTACCATTTAAAATTCCTGTCCAATGGTTTATCTTGAAGCGATATTGATATTTATCTTCTCTGATCAAATGTGGGTTTGCTACGTGCCACTCGTGTAAGTTATGCAGGTTCATGTATCCATCTTTCTTAAATGTGGTCTCATCCGACCATAAAATTTTGTCAAAGGACTGTGGGTCTTTCCTGTGTCTTTCTAACATTGTGCGACAAAAAGCAACTCGGGGCTCATAATCCCGGGGCAGGAGAGGTTGAACACGCTGTATGTGGTATGGATGAAGCACATCACTTACTTGCTATTGCACACTTTGATACCGATCAGTACTCCTTAGTTTACTGCGCATCTTGACATGTTCGTGCTTGTTGATTTCGTACTGTTACTAATTTTGGATTCGTGAACTGGACTGTTGATTGCTTGTGATTTGGATTTGGACTGTTTAATTGCTCTTCAAAACAACATTTGCTTTCCTTAGACTATCTTTGATAGTGTGATTGTGCAGTGCCGCTATGTCCGTGTACACCGTACAAGAATATGCTAACATGCACCTCATTTATGGGGAATGCAGATGCAACGCTAGTGCTGCAGCGAGACTTTACTGTGAGAGGTACCCGAATGCAGCTCGTCATCCAGATCATCGAGTGTTCACAAATGTGCACCGCTTACTGTTCTCAGAGGGCCAACTACCAAACCAATCACACGGTGAGGGAAGATATTTCCTTCCTTACGAAGACGTGGTGCTAGGACCTGTCGAAGAAGACACGAGTACTTCAGTGCGTGCAATAGAACTAAAAACAGGTGTGCCCAAAGGTACAGCCCATAGAATCTTGCAGAAAAACGTGCTCCATCCATACCACGTACAGCGTGTTCAAGCTCTTCTGCCCCGGGATTATGAGCCCCGAGTTGCTTCTTGTCGCACAATGTTAGAAAGACACAGGGAAGATCCGCGGTTCTTTGAAAAAATTTTATGGTCAGACGAGACCACATTTAAGAAAGATGGGTACATGAACCTGCATAACTTACACGTAGCAAACCCACATTTGATGAGAGAAGATAAATCTCAATATCGCTTCAAGATAAACCATGGGACAGGAATTTTAAATGGTAAAATAGTCGGTCCGTTTGAGTTCCCAGAGGCTTTGACTGCTGAGGTTTATTTAGGTTTTTTGCAAAATCATTTAGAAGATTTATTGGAGGACCTGCCACTGAATATTTACAGGGACATGTGGTTTCAGCGTGATGGCTGCCCAGCGCACTATGTACTCTCAGTGAGAGAGTATCTCGATCAAAACTTTCCAGGCAGATGGATAGGGCGGTCTGGTACAATACCATGGCCAGCCCGGTCACCAGATTTGAATCCGTTAGATTTTTTTTACTGGGGAACTGTAAATGAAAAAGTGTATTTCAAGCCGATTCAAAATGTAGCTGAGCTACGGCAAAGACTATTGGAAGCAGCTGAGTTTGTTAATAACCGTGGATTCGCTCGTTTAATAACCCGATCTTTTTTAAGATGTCGAGCGTGTACTGCGGCTGAAGGAAAACAGTTTGAGCATTTGCTGTATAGGTAAATCATCATCAGCAGCATTTTGACGCCCACTGTTGTGCAAACAGTTATCCTCAAGGGTCCTTTTGCGTTTTCATAATCGCTGTTTAATTAGGAAATTTTGAAAAATTTTCATCAGTTTTTCTTCAAATAAAAATTGTGCATAAGTTAACGAGTAATCTTCTAAGTGTTATACCATTTTGGAATTCTTATTAAATGCGCCAACTTTTAAGGTTACTTGCCAAACTCTCGTAGTACATTTTTTTCCAGTACAGCCAGTTAAAGTTGAGCAAAGTTTTACTTTGGAATACTTGTTTGAGAAATAA